GCAGTGGCATCATCATAGCTCACAGCAACCTCCAACTCCTGGGCTCAAGCCATCCTCCTGCCTCAGCCTCTCTAGTAGCTGGGACTACAGGCGCTCAACACCATGCCCGGCTAATTTTTTATTTATTTTTTTTTTGAGACAGGGTCTCGCTATGTTGCCCAGGCTGGTCTCGAACTCCTAGCCTCAAGCAAAGCCTCCCACCTCGGCCTCCCAAAGTACTGGGATTACAGGGTGGCCCCTCTTAAAACTTGTGAGTGAGTTGCCAGCCTTGAAGGCCAGGCAGCTTCACGAACAGCTTCTAGGTTCTCTGGAGAGGTCGGAGGTGCGGCTACACTAGGGCTGGGTGACCCGTGAGGCCCCTTCCTCTGCCTGTCGAGAGGCGCCCAGGTCTGGCAGTGCCCCGGCTCTCTGGCCGCCCGAGCTCACCCTGTCTGCAGAGTGGGTTCCGCCAGCCCTGCTGCGCCCAGGGAACAAGTGAAGGATTCCGTGGGCCGTCACGGGTGGAGAGATGTGTTCACGTTGGTGCTGTTTCATGCAGGTATCGTGTTGTGAACTTGACTCCGAGAACGGAGGGGCACCCTTCCCTCCCCAGGGGCTCTTTGCTGCTCGGGCAGTGGTGCCTGTCTGGGGGGGGTGTGGACTGGGTAGGGAGAGAGCACGCTTGACTGACGACGCCTGCCGTGGGCGCGGAGTGAGCAGTGGAGGAGGACGGTGACGCTCCAGCATCCTGGCAGGGGCCTGGCAGATAGTGTCGAGGCGTGGCATGCCGGGGCCCACACAGGGCTTGGAGCCATGTGGACAGCACAAGCCTGTGTAGAGGGCGGCTGCTCCCAGCTCTGTTCCTTTAATGCCAGGTGGGAACGCAGTCGGGCCAGGCATCGTGGGTGCAGGTGTCCTTGGGCCCCCAGTTTGCAGCCTCCGCCGGCAGGTGCTTGCATGGTCGAGCACACCCCCCCGTACCCCTCGGCTGTGTGGCGTCCCCTCCGTTCAAGCAAGCAGATTGTGATGGGCACAGAGGGCCACCCTGAGCCAGGCTGGGACCCAGACCCTCTGACCGAGCCAGTGTGTCCCCTCCCCATCCCAGGGCCCTCGGCTCCAGAGTCTGGCCCAGCACGCCTCCATTGTAGTTCCTTTTTCTGGGTCTGTGCCTTAACGGTGTTGGTGGCCCAGGGACCAGGGTGGTGACATGTGTGCCTTACAGAGCCCTGTCTCGTTTCTGGCAGCGATGTTGTCACTCTGGACACAAACACACACGAGCCAGATCCTCCTGCCCTCTGGCCAGTCTGGCGTGCCACACAGGGTTTGTCCACACCTGCTCTGCCTGCCTTGGCCTGTCCATCGCGCCTGTGGCCCGTTGGCCCTGCCGGCCCTGCCATCTCAGCTACTGTCTCGCCATCGCTGTCTGGGTCCCGCGGGCTGCCAGGGCCGGGGACAGGGACAAAGGCAGCCTCACTCCTCCCTCCCTGCAGCCTGGTGTGGGCAGGGCCCCTGGAGCCAGCGGGAGGGGTCGCTGGGGTGAAGAGTGCACGGGGTTGGGGGCAGGGAATCGCAGGCCCCTCGGAGGAGGGGGCGTGGGTGTTGCACAAAGCAGGCCCTGTCTGTCCCCTGAATGCATGGCTTTATCCCGGGCCCTAACAGACGGACTGGGCCCTGCAGAATCAGGCCAGGCTGCCCCGGCCGTGGACCTGCCCCGTCTGGGGAGGCAGGAGGTGTGGCGTGGCGACCTGGGTCTGAGGCCTGGCCTCTGCCCAAGCCACGCTCCACCCTCCTGGCAGGAGCAAGTGGGCGTCCCACGGGCAGCCCCCAGCTTGGGGCCCGAGTTCGCAGCGCCCCAGCCTCCTTGGGGCTGGGGAAAATCTCCCCAAAGCCCTTGGTTAGTGCATCCTGCCCCCAGCCCTTGCCCAGGGCCCGCCAGCTTTGGGCTCTGGGAGTTGGTGCGTCTGTCACTTTACCTCTGAGTCTGTCTCCTCACCTGTGGAACAGGGATGATAAAAGCACCTGCTCTTAGGTGTGCTCGGCGCCAAGCAGGGATCCACAGACGGGGACCAGTAACTGGATCCTTCTTGGTCGAGGGGGACGGTCCGGGACAGTGTGGGTGTTTAGCAGCATCCTTGCCCCCCCAACTAGATGCCAGTAGCACCCCCCGTTGTGGCAACCCAGGCTGTCTCCAGGCGTTGTCACATGTCCCTTGGGTGCAGACTCACCCCCGTCGAGAAGCATCGACTTCACAGCTGTGTGTAAACAGTGGCGCTGCTGAGCAGCTGTGCCGAGGTATAGGGTGCCGTGAGAAGGCGGGAACTGGGGGATACGTGGCCGGGAAGCAGGGGTGGCTGGAGAATATGGGGCAAGTGACTGCCTCAGTGTGGAGAAGCTTCTGCCACTCCATACACAGTGACGGTCCCATCACTTCCCTCCGGGGGAAACTGAGGCTGGTGGCAAGAGACGGTCGGCCCTCCCAGGGCTGGCGTTTGTTTGGGCACGTGGGCTCCAGACCGCCGGATGTCTCCCAGGCCCCGCCTGAGACCTGCCTGCGCTGCTCCCCTTCTTTGACTTCAGTGCCTCCTTGCGAGGAGGAGGAGGAGCTGAGTCGGTGGCACTGGGCTTGACCCTGTGACCCTGGGGAGACCCCTCCGGCACAGCAGGTCTGGGGGAGGCGTGTTCCTGCGCCGCTTGGGCCGGGCATCTGGGCTGGAGGGGCTGGCGGAGGAGCGTCAGCCCTTGACGCTGCCGCCTGGTGCCCGCTCTGCATGTCACCTCCGAGGGACCCGGCATCCCGCCCGCTGCTGGGGCTCTGCTGGCACCGGGCTCGGCCAGCTGCCGCGACGGCTCCGGCGCACACTCGCTTGAGTCAGCAGAAACCGCCCCGGCTCAGGCAGGATCAAAATAACCTTCTTCCTTTTCCAGCACTTGAGGGTTTTTCTGCCTTCTAGTGGAAACCCCCCCCCAAAAAAAAAAAAAAAACTTTAAAAATGAGACGTGCAACATTTGCAGCCATCTGGAATGTGGTTTTCTGAGGCCTCTTCCCCAAGAGGAGGGGCCGTATGACCCTGTCCTGTCGGGTGGTGCGCGTGAGTCTCGTGTTTGCTGGACGTGTGTGTGTGGGCCTGTGCGGTGCCTCGTGTCTGTGTGTTGTCTGTGTTTATTGGTGTGTGCTGGGGATTGCGTGTGGGCCGCTGGGGGCGTGTGGGCTTGTGCACACACATCCGCACGTACTTCCCTTTGTTTATTCCACAAAGCTGCAGCTCCACACCTGGTTCCAGCATCCCCTCTCCACACTCAGGGGCCCCTCCTCTTCCCAGCTGCCCCCTCCCCAGACAGGTGAAGGGGCCGTGACCTCTGCCTTAGCCTTTGCCCAGTGGCGGGAGGCCCACGTACAGGCCCTCTCTGCAGGTCACTCGTGCTACGAGAACAGCTACGGGAGGTTCTGGGAGCAGAGCTGGGAGTCCTTCCTCCGTCCCTACAAGTGGGGTGTCTGGGCCGCGGGCTCTCCCCGTGCATCCTCCCAGCCGACGCTGCTTCCCAGGAGAGCTGCTTCCCCATACGCTTGCCAGCCCCGGGCACCGTCAGTGACCTTGCCGGGAGACTCGGGCTTGGCGTCCCTGAGTCTTTGTGGCATTCTTGCTCTGCCAGCAGGGCGTGAAGTTCAGAAGGGCTGAGCCCTGTGCCCAGCGGCCCACAGGTTCGGCTCGAAATCTCACGTGCTTCTCTGCGTCTCCACAGCGGAGCTGGAGTTTGTGCAGATAATCATAATCGTGGTGGTGATGATGGTGATGGTGGTGGTGATCACGTGCCTGCTGAGCCACTACAAGCTGTCGGCGCGCTCCCTCATCAGCCGGCACAGCCCGGGCAGGCGGAGAGAAGACGCCCTTTCCTCGGTAAGCTGGTGTCCCCCGGGTGCTCGCGGGAACCCAGATGCGGGACTGGAAGATGGGCTGAGGCTGAGAAACCCTCCTGTTACCAGCTCCCTCCCCCGTAAACAGGCCGAGCCGTCTGAGTGAGCCATCTGAGTGCTGGAGGGACGGGGGAGGAAGTGGGCTGCGGGGAGGGCTCACGGAGGGCTCCGTTGGTTCCTGAGCCTCCGCTTCGGGCCAGGCACTGTCCTGGTCTCTGGGGCTCGGGCAGCACAGACAGACCCTCGCTGTGACGGAGCTGACATCCCGGGAGGAGAGGAGAAGAGGTCAGGTGGTGACCGTGCCGGGCGGGGCGCAGTGAGGGCTGTCCTCTCTGTCCCTACCCGGATGGCTGGGGCCGAGCGGGGGCAGGGCGGAGATGCTGGGGCAGGCGGTGGGGGAGACGTCGTGGGCACACGCAAGGCTGTGGGAGAGGGCAGAGGGACGAGGGCATGGCATTTGACTCTGCACCCAACATGGCGGTGGGGGAGAGGCGCCTGCTGCGTTCCTGCGGGTCCCACGCCTGCCCTCGCGCCAGTGCTCTGCAGGCGTCTGGCCCTGCGGTCAGTCCCTGATGCGTTCAACGGGGCTTCCATTGCCTTGTGTGTAAAAGCAGTTCACGGTTGTGTTCAACTCCCAGGGCCCTCGAGGCTTAGCACAGAGTGAGGGTCGGTCACTGCTGGCTGTGAGAGCACTTCCACCCTGCCGTGCATCCACTCAGTGGACCGCCACCGAGCACGCACGGGTGCCTAGGACACCCCCTGCGCTGGGGCAGTGGCTGTGAGCCAGTGCCATGGGGACGCCAGGCGGGAGCTGGGAGGGGCAGCAGATGCACCTGCGGGACACCTGGGGAGAGCCGCTCCCAGGCCAAGCGCAGAAGGACCGAGGGGGATGGGCTCCGGGGCTGAGAAGGACACGGAGCCGCATGGAGGACCTTGCTCTTCGGATAACCCCGATTTTGACATGTAACTGCCCTGCAGCTGGTGCCTTCCGCAGGTGGGCGGAAGGGAGGTGCAGCCTCCGTCCCTAACGGCCTCCGTGTCTGTGTCCAGGGCGCGTTATTTAACGGCGTGGGGCAGGAGGCGGCCGTCTCAAGAGCGGGCTGGGAATTACGGGCAGGGGGCGGCCTCGGGGCTGCAGACAGGCTCTGAGCCAGGGCGTGCCAGGTGTGGGGAGACTCGCAGAACAGGCATCGCCGGGCATGGCCTCCTCACTGCTGGGGACACCTGGGGCTGGTGGCAGTGCCAGGTCCGTGGCTGAGCCAAGTCGGCCGAGGAGTCTGCTGGCCACGGCCCGAGCCGGCAGGCCTGTCCCTGGCGGGTTTGGGCGTCTCTGCTTGCGTCAGGCCCCAGCCTCGGTGCGTCACCGGGTTGTCAAGGCGAGGAACGTCTGCCCTCCGATGGGCACGCCGGCAGCCCAGCCTGAGGCCCGCGGTGTGCCCCCGTGGTGTCTGGGACAGACTCCGCATGTGCTGCTCTGAAGGAATCCCTCGCTTCGAAGCCCAGGGCTCACCTGGCTGTTTGTTTGCTGTTGCCGTCGCCCAGCAACGGGCGCCGCTGTCTGCCCAGGGATGAGCTACCTGCCTCGTCTGCGGTCAGGACCTCAAGGGTTCACCCACTTAGAGGTGGAGCTGGGTGTCAGAGAGGTGGGACACTGGCCTGAGGCTACGGCGCTTGTTGGTGGTGGTTTGAAGAGCCTGTGGCCCCCTTTGTCCTCCCTCCGATGCTGGGGAGAGCGGAGTCAGATGAGCCTGGGGAGCACAGCCTGGGAGCACGTGCTGCAGGCTGGGCCGGCTTGGCCCTCAGCCTCAGTGTGTGCGTCTGTGGGATGGGGTGAAGCCAGCACCTCTCCGCCCACCCTGTGCGGCCCTAGGGCCACGAGGAGGGTGAAGTTGGTCGAGTGCTGGGGAGTACGTACCCAGGGTCTGGGCAGGAATGGCCCGGCCGTCGTCGGGGGGAGGTAGCCCTGTGGGCAGCACCCAAGGCTTTGCTGTCAAGTTGGGCGGCAGGATTCTGGCCCTGGCTCCCTGGACACCTGAGCCTAGTAGAAAGTGTGTCTACCCAGCCGCCTGCACAGGCCCCCAGGGAGGCCTGGCTGGGTAAACACAGAGCCCTGTTAGACCTAAAGCAGAATGTGGCGGCTCCCTTGGGGACCGCCTGCCAGACAGAGTGTGTCTGAGGAGTCTCTGGGCCCCGTGACCTCCCCCAGAGACCCAAACACAGCTGCCGTCTGCCTGGGGCCCAGCCTACGTCCCACTGCCCACCTGGGCCCTGCCCCTGGCATGGCTGTCCTGTCTGAGCCCCTTTTCAAGGTGACCCCTGGGAGTCCCCTCCTCCCTGTGTCCAGCCAGCAGCTCGTGCCCCACCTGCCTGCCCCCAACGGACAGGTCGGCCCCTCCCATGACCCTGGATACGCCCGGGCCCATCGCCTCACCGAGTGACACGGGGCGAGTGTCTGCCCTCTCAGAGATGCGCTTCCCCACTGGTCAGACAGGGTAAGGAGGGTGGTCAGAGGGTGAGGCTCAGGTGCGCGGGGAGTCCCTCGGCACAAGGCACAAGGTGAATCGGTCCTGACGGGACAGTCTTGAGAGCCACAGAGGCCCCTAGTGACCATTTGGGGAATTGCCGTCCTCTGGCAGTTGCTACCCGGGCTGCAGTAAGACACGTCCTACCTGGGAACCCTCAAGAAAACGTGCCCCCAAGGAAACTTTTGGAGTGATGGACGTGTTCATTATCTGGGTTGTGGTAACATGCTCTTGGTATGTACATATGCCCGAACTTACCCAGTTGCAAACTTTGAATATGAGTTTATTGCATATCAGTTATGTCTCATTGAAGCTATAAAATTAACAGACATCCCTTCCTCTGGGCCCAAGGCTCTCCCTGGTGGCATTGACGGGCAACTCGGACACATTGATTCCAGCATGGGGTCCCCCTTCCCTTAGAGGAGCTACACACCCCTGCTGTGAACTCAGCAGGGCATGTAAGCTTCGTGCGGTGGTGCTATGCCCGTGCACCTGGCCCAGAGCTCGGCACAGAAGCGACGCTGTATTCCACGTTTGCTGGTGACCAAATCGCTGTTTTATGGCAAAGCATCAGCCTTGGGCACTTCAACTCTTCTCTGCTTCTTCACCTATAAACGGGAATATCAGTAATTTTAGGTTCGTTCATAATAGAGAGGGAGAGATGGTCTGTGGAGAGATGAATAAATACACAGACAAGGTGACTGCAGATAGAACAGGTGACAGGTTAGTTCATAGGAGAGGCCTTTAGATAATGGTGTTGGAGAGAGTTCGCAGGGGACCCTGGAACTGAAAATAAAGAAGGAGCTGGCCAGGCATCGAGGCAGCCAGTGCAAAGGCCCTGTGGCACATGCTTAGCATGTGGGGACATCAGGGAGCTGGTCATGGTGGCTGGCCGGAGTGCAGTGGTGGCACCCAACACTCTCATACACTCCCTGAGGGCCACATGGGCTCCAGGTGGTTTTTACATTCAACCTGTTAAGATCTTTAACCCCAACAGGCCAGTACTGTAATTATTCACATTTTCAGATATAGGAACTGCAGCATCTGAGTTCAGTAACTTGCCCAGGTCACATGGCGAGCAGGTGGTCCAGGCCGGGAGAGTGAGACCAGGAGGGGCGACCACGCTGGGTTTCATTATAAGCCGCCGGAAGCTGCCTGGGGGCTTTGAGAAGGGGGACCCTCGAATTGGGTATATGTTCTGGAACGTGTGAGGCAGGTTTCCAGGGACAGCAGCAGGAGCTGAGAGACCGGGGGGAGGCAGTGGTCACTGTGTCCTCGAGATGTGGAGCAGGGAAGTGGAGGGGTTCAAGATCCGTTCCCTGGGTGACCGGGCTCAGAGTCGTCGCCAGCAGAGTTGTCGCCGGGTTGAGTCTTTGCTCTCCCGCCCCCGCCCACACACTGACCCTGCCTGTCCCTCTCCTCCCGTCCAGGAAGGATGCCTCTGGCCCTCGGAGAGCACAGTGTCGGGCAGCGGAATCCCGGAGGTGAGAGCCGGCGCTGCCTCCCCTCCCCTCCCTCCCATCCTAGCCCTGCCCCTCTGGTGGCCCTGCTGGGAGAGTGCTGGCCGCCAAAGGCTCTCACTCTCTTCTCGGAATCAGTGTCCTTGCCTAGGAGTGTAAGCTCCCTGCCCCCGGAGGGTGGGAGCACAAAGGCTGCCCCTGCCTCTGTTTCCAGGGGGCTGTGCGGCTCTGCCTTGCACACTCCAGGGCTCCCGGGGGGTCCGGTGGAGGCCACACCCTTGCTGGGCTCCTTCCCTGCCGCCTCCCGCTGCCCTCTCCCTCTCCCCAGGGAGCTGAGTCACGTGCAGCCAACCCCCTATGTGAGGATCTGCTTCTGGGGGGGGGCCCCGACCTGAGACAGCCGCCCTCCTGACTGCGCTCTGCTCCCTCCAGCCGCAGGTCTACACCCCGCCTCGGCCCGCCGACCGCCTGGCCGTGCCCGCCTTCGCCCAGCGTGACCGCTTCCACCGCTTCCAGCCCACGTACCCGTACCTGCAGCACGAGATCGACCTGCCACCCACCATCTCGCTGTCGGACGGGGAGGAGCCCCCGCCCTACCAGGGCCCCTGCACCCTCCAGCTGCGGGACCCCGAGCAGCAGCTGGAGCTGAATCGCGAGTCGGTGCGCGCACCCCCGAACAGAACCATCTTCGACAGTGACCTGATGGATAGTGCCAGGCTGGGCGGCCCCTGCCCCCCCAGCAGTAACTCAGGCATCAGCGCCACGTGCTACGGCAGCGGCGGGCGCATGGAGGGGCCACCGCCCACCTACAGCGAGGTCATCGGCCACTACCCCGGGTCCTCCTTCCAGCACCAGCAGAGCAGCGGGCCGCCCTCCTTGCTGGAGGGGACCCGGCTCCAACACACACACATCACCCCCCTGGAGAGCGCCGCCCTCTGGAGCAAAGAGAAGGATAAACAGAAAGGACACCCTCTCTAGGAACCCGGGCCGCGGGGCCGCAGTGGGTGAAAAGGCAGAATGCTCTGCACTTCTTACAAGAGGAGAGAGAGGATGGCGGGCGACACACGGAAACGCAGCGTGTGGCCGTCCTCTCCCACCTCTCTGTGTATAAATATTTACATGTGATGTCTGGTCTGAATGCACAAGCTAAGAAAGCTTGCAAAAAACCACGTTTCTTTGTTGAGCTGTGTCTTGAAGGCAAAAGAGAAAAAAGAATTCTACAGTAGTCTTTTTTTTTGTTTCTAGTTGAGCTGCGTGCGTGAATGCTTATTTTCTTTCGTTTATGATGATTTCACTTAACTTTAAAGACATATTTGCACAAAACCTTTGTTTAAAGATCTGCAATATTATATATATAAATATATATAAAATAAGAGAAACTGTATGTGCGAGGGCAGGAGTATTTTTGTATTAGAAGAGGCCTATTAAAAAAAAAGATGTTTTCTGAACTAGAAGAGGAACAAAATGGCAATTTTTGAGTGCCAACTCAGAAAGTGTGTATTACCTTGTAAAGAAAAAAATTACAAAGCAGGGGTTTAGAGTTATTTATATAAATGTTGAGATTTTGCACTATTTTTTAATATAAATATGTCAGTGCTTGTTCGATGGAAACCTCTCTCGTGTCTGTTGAGAGTTGAAGGGAGAAGTGTCGGGATTTCAGAGCCGACGTCAGGCAGGGGTGAGCTCCCCGCTGCAGAGCGGCTCTCCGCCGGGGAAGGGCGGGCTTCCCGAGGGGCCACTTTCCCTGCAAATTGGATGCTTCTGTCTAGTGATAGGTATCAGCACGTCACACATTCCCTACCGAAGGAGACACATCTTTTTCCCTGTGGGCCAGGCAGCCTCTCGATCACAAACAGAACAGGAAAGTTACCGCAGAGGCGTCAAGTTCCGGGTGGTGGTTTTGCCCTTTCCCAAGATGACAATAAACTGTTACCGAAAGAATCCGTTTTTCCTCTTATTTTCAACTGTGAAGGTCCCCGTGGGGAGGAGCAGGGTGCCCCTCACTGGCTGCAGCCGCTCCCCGCACACGTTGCCGGGGACACCCCGAGGGCGGAGGTGCTGGTTAGTGCAGGATGCCTCGGTGGCGGTGCCCCGGCGCCAGGGCTGGCCGGCGGAGGCTGGGGGGCACGCTGGCGTGAGGAAGGGCCCACAGTGCCAGCAGTCGGACCTCACGCCTGTCTGTTTCCCTCATGTATCGATTCCCACGCAAGAGGCCCGAGATGAAAAGGCGACAAGCCCAGGTTTCTCCCAGGACGTGGGGAAGGGTTGCAGCGAGCAGAACAGCCAGACCGACACACCTGTGCTCCGTGCTCCGTGCTCGGGCTTCAGGAGCCGATGTATTTCCCCTCTCCTTCCCCACGGAAACAGCCGTTGGGTGTGTTTGTTTGTCTGTGTTGTCATGTGGGTCTTTGCTCGCCAGCTCTGTACCGAGTAGATCTGGGGTCACCGGGTCCCTGCTGGCGGGGTGCAGGGGACGCAGCAGGAAGGGGCAGGTGACAGGAGAGAGCGGGAGTGGGGTCTCCTCCCACCCTGTCGCGGGCTCCTTGCCAACGCCACCCCTCCCATCCCGTGGATGTGTCCCGTCAGTTTCGGCAGCAGCTGACTAGTAGACCGGCACAAAAGAAAGATACGAGAGGCAGTAACTCCTGTGCGCAAGCCACCTTTTTATTCCCTGAAAACAAAAACCTGAGAACAGTTTTGAAGTTCTGACCGTTTGAACTTTATTTATACACGCATGTATGTTTTAAGAACAGGGTGGCCAAGAGGACATGTGGTCTGAGCGCTGACCAGCCTGCTAGAACCTTCTCATCCCTGGGCAGCAGCAGAACCTGCCTCTCCATGGGGTCTTGAGCTTCGAATCTGCTTCTTTCTCGAAGAGGGTTTTTGAAAAGATCGTGCAGAGAAATCAATGTAGTTTATCCTGAAAGGTACAGGGACACACTTACAAAGATAATTTAAATGTATCTTTCCTTTATGTGACACGTCTCTAGTGCCTTACTGAGGAAGCAGTGACCCTGTTGCCGTGGGGCGGGGGTTTCCGGACAGTGCCTCATTCACTCCGGACCGGTGCCCCCTCCCGGAGTCCGCAAAGGGTTTTGCTTCTTTTCAGACGCCCTATTGCCCTCTCCTGGCCTCGCCTCCCTCCACCATGGCTGTGCCTCGCTAGGTGGGCTGATCCCTGCTGTCCTCCAGCCTTTTTTGTCAAGGACTGTGTGTAATTCCCATCTGGGTCAAAAACCTAGACGTGGACCTCGTTTGTGTGTGTGGCATCAGCCAAAAGCCAGGCTGAAGTGTTCTCCGTGTCCTCTTGAGCCAAACTGTTGGAGTCTTACTGCTTCATGGTATGGTCTGGATTTGCTAGCAGAGAGAAGGAAGGGGCGGAGTGGGTGACTGACCTCGGCCGGCTTGAGGGCAGAGCCCACCCCTCCATCAAGCCAGTACTGAAGTCCAGCGTCCCTGGGCTTCATGCCCGATGGGTGACAGTTGCAAAAGTTCATGGGGAGACTGGCTTGTCAAAAGCAGGCGCATCCCAAGAAAACCGATAGGGTGTCATCTGGACACTACTGCCAGAGCTAAGCTCTTGGCTTCTCTGCTTGACCCCAGAGCTCTGGGGGGGGGGGGTCGGGGGGTGCACTGTTTCCTCTAGATGTTGGTTGCCGTGTTATCTTTGAAAACCCTTGGACCACCCCTTAGGAAGCCCCCGTTCCAGCAGGCAGTTCGGTGAGGTCCTCAGAAGTGGCTGGTGGGAGGCGGACCAGGCGGGTTTCAGGGGTCTGCTGTTCCACCCCGGGTTCGGAGAAGGTGGCAGCGTGCAGCTCTTTCTGCCCTCGCTTCCCGGCGTGTAGCCACCACATTCCCTCGGGAGGAGGAAGGTCATCTCCCCTGCAAAGCCGGGACAGATTTACCAAATTGTGCCAAGAGCCATCCGTGTTCCCCAAAGCCCAGTGTCTCTGCAAAGAGTTAAAAGTGACCCCACGTGTAGCGAAAGCCAGGGCAGGGCAAGACCCAGACCCAGTCCCTGTCCTTGGTCGTGCTGTGCATTGTGTGTTTCAGAGAAGTGTTTTCCCTACGTGCGACACAAAGCTTCCAGAACCACAAAACGTCTTGATGATAAGAAAAATTTTTTTTTCCAGAAACTGTGCTTGAAATTTTGCTGTACTATAGAGCTCAGAAGGACACACCCGCTCTCCGCTGCCTGCCTGATTCCATGTCGCTGCTGCTAATGAGTGTTGCATTCTGGGCGTGGGAGCCGCCCTCCTTTGCGGCCCTGTTTCCCGAGTTCTGTTCAGTTAGACTTATGTAAGCTCTCTGTGGCACGCCGGGTGCAGCACCCACGATGCTGCTGCGTGAGACTCTGTATTTGGATGCCAATCCACAGGCCTGAAGACATTGCTTGTTGTGTATCAGTAATCATTAGTGGCAATGATGACATTCTGAAAAGCTGCAATACTTATACAATAAATTTTACAATTCTTTGGAACAAGGCTTTTTCACTTCTTTGTCCGTGTGTGGCTTTTCTCACCACCCCCACCCCCTCTACAACAACCCCAGGTTGCCTTGAATGGAGAGGAAGTGATCCCTCCAGGCTGCTGGGCAGCCTCAAACAATGCATTCAACCTCTCTGTTTAGTTCAGACAGCGTTCAGAGAGCACAGTGAAAACACTTGCTCAAGCAGGTGGTTCTAATCAAAGGGGAGGTATTGGGGTTAAGTGAGTTTGCAAAACATTGTATACTTTTCCTCCCTCTTGGGAAAACATTATTTACCATAGCATGATGAAAGCTCTGATAAGGTCTGCAAGAAAGAAACTGTCTCAAGTGGGGGTCTTCCAGAAGTAAACCCTGTGATGTGGATTTGTGTACATGGGGCGTCTTAAGGATACTCCCGGGGGAGACAGCTAAGGGAGTCGGGGAAGAGGACCTAGGAGGGGCAGAAGCTAGAGCAGGGGGACAGTTTTAGGCAAAGTTCCAGCCTTAGCCTGATCCCAGGGGCCTGTGGAGAGCTCTGGATTAAGTTGCGCCTGGGAAAGGCAAGCTCAGACCCCCCTGGCTCTTGGTGCGTAAAGGCGGAGCAGTGAGGGGTCCCAGTGGCCCCAGGATGTCCTCCCAGGTGCCGGCCATTAGCAGCAATGCACGTGGAGGCTGGGGGAGGGGTGCACAGACCTCCAGGGGGGTTTGTGGAGCACCCACACTAGCCACTACAGGAGCCCTCATTTATTTTGCTAAGTATAGTTGACCCTTGAGAAATGTGGGGTTCCAGGCACACTGCCCCCACCCCGCAGTCAAAAATCCACATACAACTTTTTATTCCCCAGAACTTACCTACTTACTGATAGCCTAGTATTGACAGGAAGCCTTACTGATACTGTATCCGCCGATTAACACGTAAGTATCTACGTACGGTTTGTGCATTCATAACATACCCAACTCATCTTAATTTTTTCTGCATTTCTAGGCTATGTGGTTCAAATTGTCACACTCCAAACATTTTCTGATACATTATTGAAAAAAATAGACGTATAAGTGGACCTGCATAGCTCAAACCCGTGTTGTTCAAGGGTCAGCTATAGACCCATCTTTAATGTCCGATGGAAGTTTTTGAAAAGGCCCACATAAAGCCCGTAACCCCCGGGGTGACCGCTGTTTGGCCTCAGCCCCCGGGTTTCCTAAGCATCTGGACCACAGGGCCCAAGAAACATCTCACGCGCTTCGAGAAATGCAAAAGCCGGCAGCCCACTGGGTCAGGGCAGAACTCCGTACCCACCTGTGCCCTCTTTCCGGTGGAGAAAAACCTGAGAGATCACAAAGAATTGGGGAAAACCCGAGAGAGCCCATTACTCCTCAGTGGCAAGAGCAGGGGTCCCTGTGCTGTGCCCCAGCCGGCTCCGCGTTCGAGCGGTTACTCCCCTCGCAGGCCTCAGTCACCTGGTCTGTAGAATGGGACTGACGTCGGTGCCCGTGAGACACTTGCACCCGGCGTCCGATGAGCTAACGCCTGTAGCATCATCCCAGCAGGTGCCTGGCACACTTAAATACTGCATACTCCTACTACTGACATGGGCTTCCGGATGGGGTTTTCATGTTGCGATCACATGCCCCTTGAAAGACGAGAAGGTCTCATCTTTGACTCATCCAGTACATTTTTTGAGCGTAGCTGGGAGTCACCACCCTGGCTGCTGGGAGACGCCAGCGTCTCAGACCCAATCCCCAACCCCAGAGAACTCGTCTTTGGCTTCAGAGACAGACTCACAAACGGCAGCCCCCGCACAGCGTGAGGGCAGGGAGAGTGGGCTGCTGGGGTGGGGGTGGGTTATAGAGGCTGGTGTGGGCTGACT